AACACTAGTGCTCTGACGGCGTTCAGGCTTATGTGCAGAACTAGCTCTGGCGGCAAGCACTCCGCCATGTATGCCGGGCGACGGCAGTACGGCGACGATCGGACCTTGCCACAAAAAGGAGGCACGACCACCGACTCCTCGCCCTCCTCGCTCCAAGGAGCCCCTTATGCTAGCCAAAGTATCAGGGCGTACCAGCACCTCTCCATGCCGACAGCAAGGAAACCTGGGGAAAGAGGCTTTTGCTCATGGGCGGAGCTAAGCTTACAGCCGAACGGCAATGCTGTAAGCCAAAGTGGCAACAGCGACGACAACGCTGGGGCACTCCTGGGCGTTCCTTAGCCTTCGGCGTCTTGGCCCGAACCACTCACGTGAAAACCTGCGTGACCGCGCGACAAGAACTCCGAGGAGGAAAAGGAGGAGGAAGACGAAGAGCGGGACGACAGATTTCAATTCTACCAGAGGTCACGGCTCATTGCAGGACGATCCCGAACGTCTCACACACACGGAAAGGCCCGACCGAGTCCCACTAGCCCCAGTAACCCGCACTGCCCACGCCGCGAGAAACCCGATCGACTCACACACACCGACGAACCCGAACGACTCACCAGGACGACGGGCCTGGACGACGGACACCACGACGAGCCTGAACGACTCGCACGCAAGGAACAGGCCCGAACGACTCACAGCAGGACGAAGAGCCCGAACGGCTCACACAACGAACAGCCCAAATGTGTCGCAGACCAAAACACGCGCCAACCACTCACAAACAATGAGAAGGCCGAAGAACTCACACCAAGGCGCGGCGCCCGAACCTGCAACACCCCGAGAATCTCGAGAGACTCTTACACAGGGAAAGGCCCCAACGACGAACGCCGAGACGAACGGGCCCAGGGGCGCACAGAGCATTCGCGAAGCAGAACGCGCGAACGAACGGCCCGAACGACTCCTAGAACACGTCCCAGCAAAACAAGACACCCGAACGAGGGAGCGCAGGCCGCCCTTGAAGCCAAACGTAAGAATCGTCGAGATACTCCTCGAGAGAAACGAACGCGGCAGCGCGTTGTCCTCCTGCACAACTACGAAGAGCGTTCTACCTAAATCCGCCGACCCCTTGGGGATCATCGGCGTGTGAGATGCTTCCCCCTCCCCAAACCCCTCCCCCGGGAGCCCGGTCCGGTCGATTTGGAGGGGGGGGGGGGTCCGGGACGAGCGGTTCACGGGGCTTTTCCGGGCCCAAGAGGGCCTCAAGACGGGCCAAGAAGCCCCCAAGAGGCCTCCAAGACGGCCCACGAAGGCCCCGAGACGCCAAACGACCGCTCCAAGACGCCCAAGATGGCCCCAAGACGGGCCAAGAGGTCTCCAAGACGGCCCCCGAGGTCCCAAACAAGCCTCCCAAGAGGGCCCCAAGAGTCTAAAATTGTTGATTTTCCATAGTGTTTTTCTATGTTTTTTGCTTTTCCGCCTTTTCGGCTTCCCGACGCTCCAAGACGGCCAAAGAGGCCCCAAAGACAGCCCCAAGATGGCCCAAGAGGCCCCCAAGACGGCCTCCAGACGGCCCAAGACGGCCCCAACACGGCCCAAGAGGTCCCCAAGACGGCCCAAGAGGGCTCCAAGACGGCACCAAGAGGGGCCCAAGAGGGCGACCAAACATGTTGAAACTCTAGCTTTCTGCCCCCAGGAGCCCCAGGGGGCCCCAAGAGTGCCCCAAGAGGCCCCCAGAGGCCCTCACGAGGCCGCCCAGACGCCCCAAGGAACCCCCAAGAAGCACCCCAGAGGCTCCGAAACGGCCCCCAAGTGGCTCCAAAACTCGCGGTGTCGCCGTCCGCTCGGACCCCCCCGCGGAACTGCCCGAGACCCTCTGGCGGCGGCGGCGAACAGACACCAAACAAATATCACTCGCCTTTTCACCCCTTCGCAGCTTCTACTACCCCCAGATTGGCATAAACGAGGGGTCGGCGGTGTGGCGTAAGCCTAAGAATCTACTGTGTCCCGTCTTTCCAGAAGGCAAAGCGAACCACTTCAGCCCACGCGTTGCGCAACGCTCCACGCGTCGCCTGCACGCGAGCGCGGCAGACGACACTTGGAACTTCGACTCCCAGACCTCCGCATGTGCCTACTCAACATCCGCAGGACAAATGGCGCACCACTCTTACTTTCTTGGGAAGAGGCAGAGGACAACGTTGAAGTTCTGCGCATGTCTTTCTGTGCTTTCTTGATGTGTGTCGGTCCGCCTTTGATTTATGCGTGCTTCTGTTTTGATTACATGCGCGTACAGGTGTGGAAGGGAATCCATGGTCTGATGTCGCAATGACGATGGATCGTGCCGAGAAAATCTCGCAAGTGGCGCGTCTCTGCGACATCTCGCGATGACCGCCGTGCCTGCATGTCGCCGAGCGCTAACCGCCGCGACGACCTGCTGACACGAACGCGGGGCGAATGGAGAAGAATATGACTCACACCAGATGCAAAAATGGAGATCTCGTAGCGGTGCTGGACTACGTGCGGAATTTGCGCACACAAGCCACCTCTTGCCAAAAAACACAGTAGGCGCGTGCGTTCGGGCCGCAAGCCAAGTCACCATTGACGTGGTGGTCGTGGTCGTCGTCGTCGGCGCCGTCGTTGTCCTTTCGTCATCGTCGTCATCGTCATCGCCATCACAGTCGAAGCCATGGGAAAGAAAGTGCCGCGCGCCGACCGCACTGTGGAAACTCAACATGAAGCGAGAGTGCCGGCTACCAATATTCTGCGCGCTCGCGTCCAGGAGCCCCCGTGGCAAGCAAAAGTACAACAAAGCACAGGCGCTTCTCCATGCCAACCGCAAAAGTGATGCTAGTAGGCGGAGACTATTACGGGTAGACGGAGCGAAGCTCACAGCCACACTCCAATACTAGAAGCCAGAGTGGCAACGACAACAACGCTGGTTGGGAACGATCGCTGGTTTCGACGACGGCCGCCCTCCGTCTTGCCTCCCAACTCCTTCCCTCCCGCCTCCTCTTCCGACTCCTCCTGCTTCGGATCATAGCATACACGTACAGGGAAACAGACACATGCTTGCACCAGACACCTGTCGGCATGCTTCGCTGGGGTTCCTCGTCGGCGATGACACTACCACTACTGCGTCTACATTTACGACAACGACTACAACGACTACTACGACGACTCCTACTATTACTACTCCCACTACTACTTCCACTGCTACTACGAGGTCTACTACAGCTACTGCTGCTATTACTCATCGTATTACTGCTGCTCTGCCTCCTAATCCTACTACTACTACTACTGCGAGCACTACTCCTTCTACCACGACACCTACATCCACTGCCACTGAAACTTGTCGTGTCGCTACTACTGCTACTACTACTACTACTACTACTACTACTACTACTACTACTACCACTACTACTACTACTACTACTACTACTACTACTACTACTACTACGACTACGACTACGACTACGACTACGACTACGACTACTACTACTACTACTACTACTACTACTACTACTACTACTACTACTACTACTACTACTACTACTACTACTACTACTACTACTACTACTACTACTACTACTACTACTACTACTACTACTACTACTACTACTACTACTACTACTACACTACACGGAAGCGAGAGGAAGGAGAAACAGGGGAGCTATGCGGAGCCCAGCGGACACACGCCTGACACACACCACTGTCGGCATGCTTCACAAGAGGTGCTGCTGTGAGATGGGCTGGTGGGGGTACGCGAAGCGTAAAGAATTTGTTCTTCTTCGACCCATGGCGGCTGGAAAATGTATACCCCGGACTGCCACTGCAGGGTAATTATAAGCTGTCCAGCCGCCCTGGGGAGGGAGTCTTCGAATGCGGAAACAATTATGTCATGCCGTTCTTCGTCCTCTGAGAGGGGGCGGGGAGACGGCAAGTCATGGAGCGCAATTCGCGGAAATAACGGGCGTTATGGGGGAAAGGGGGGTGGGACGGGATGGGGCATAACGTAGCGCCCCCCCTCTGGACTGTGGTGCCAGCCGCACTCCGGCAGTACCGCGGACGCACTGAGAGGCGGGAGCGTTACGTTATGGGGGGGAGGGGGGGGAGGGTAATTCGGGGGCATACCCCGCGACATGGCCCAACAAGATAAACAAACAAACGCTCTCCTGTGAGGGCTTCGTCAGCCGCCGGGTCAAGCCGGACCGCGCCAGAACAGGCGGGATGTCCACGGAGAAGGCCAGAGAGTGGGAAAGCGGGTCTTCGACCGCGGACGACGTAGCAGCGCCGATGCCGAAGCTCACCGCCCACGAGCTGCATCCGATGAGGGGGGTATGTCTTCCATATCCCATACTAATCGTCCCCCGGGTCCGGCTTTGTAAGTTTATCACTGGGGGGGTCCGGTTTCTTTTAGGGCGCTTTCTTTGAATTGGAACTTAGAGGGTCAGGTGTATTAAGGCGCCCCATCGAAGAGGAGGGTCCTGAATATTAGGTCGCATTTGGAGGGAAGTCGGGTTTTTCAGGGGGGGGCGATTCATGTGAGATTTGGAAGAAGGGAGGGGAGGGCGGGGGAGCGGCGGGGCGGGGGGGGGAGGGGGGGGCGAGGAGAAGACACGGGCGGTGCTGCATCCACGGGGCGGCCACAGCCGCGGAGAGGAGAGAAGCGAAGGGGCCCAGGGGCACACCAAGAAGTGGACACACAAAAGCCCCAGGATTCCCCGCATGTTTCTATACAACCTGGATGTTCGATTCTTTTCCCCCTCCACTTTCCACTGGTGTGCCTGTTTTCCACCACCACCACCATAAGTTGGAGGGGGGAAGGTGGAGGATGAGGAGGAGGACGAAGAGAAGGAGGAGGAGGAGGACCCCCTCCCCCTCCTATTTATGGTATTGGTGGTGGAAAACAAACACGGCACCCATATTTTCCGGAGAATCGACGTTTGTTTGTGTCTGTGTGTGTCTTGTCCTCCTGGGGCACGCATCAGCCAGGCTCGCTCAAGGGGGGGGATGCCGTCCTTGAGCTGCCTGCCCAGCTTCTGCAGACACGCGTCGGCCAGGAGCAGCAGGGGCCTCCGCGGGGAGGCCGGCCAAACGGGGGGGCTCCTCCTGCCGCAATGCCGGAGGGTTCCAAAAGGGGGTTTTTGGGAGGGGGTTTCCCAGAGAGCCCCCCAGGGGCCTCGGAGCCTCGTCAAAACAGGGGGTGCGCAGCCCCTGGGGGACCCCTCCTGGAAAACCACCTCCCCAAAAACCTCCTTTTGAACCCATGTCTGGACCCACGAACCCGGAAAGGGATATAGACATGTGGAGCATGGACACGTTTTCACGATACCCAACTGGGCAACACCTCACGAAACATCCCACGAGACACTTCACGAAACATCCCACGAGACACCTCACGAAACATTCCACAAGACACCTCACGAAACATTCCACGAGACACCCCGCGAAACATTCCACGAGACACCCCACGAAACATTCCACGACGACAGGCAACCACTCAACCAAGGCGGTGTGGTCGTGCTGGGGAGTGGTCGTGCTGGGGTGTGGTCGTGCTGGGGGTGGTGGCTGGGGGGTGGTCGTGCTGGGGGGTGGTCGTGCTGGGGCGTGGTCGTGCTGGGGCGTGGTCGTGCTGGGGCGTGGTCGTGCTGGGGTGTGGTCGTGCTGTGGTGAGGTCGTGCTGGGGTGTGGTCGTGCTGGGGTGTGGTCTTGCTGGGGTGGGGTCGTGCTGGGGTGTGGTCGTGCTGGGGTGTGGTCGTGCTGGGGTGTGGTCGTGCTGGGTGGGGTCGTGCTGGGGTGTGGTCGTGCTGGGGTGTGGTCGTGCTGGGGTGTGGTCGTGCTGGGGTATGCTGGAGTGTGGTCGTGCTGGGGTGCGTGGGGGTGTGGTCGTGCTGGGGCGTGGTCGTGCTGGGGTGGGGTCGTGCTGGGGTGGGGTCGTGCTGGGGTGTGGTCGTGCTGGGGTGGTCCGCACCCTGTGATTTATCGATCGGGTCGTGCTGGGGTGTGGTCGTGCTGGTGCTGGGGTGTGGTCGTGCTGGGGTGTGGTCGTGCTGGGGTGTGGTCGTGCTGGGGTGTGGTCGTGCTGGGGTGTGGTCGTGCTGGGGCGTGGTCGTGCTGGGCGTGGTCGTGCTGGGGTGTGGTCATGCTGGGGGTGTGGTCGTGCTGAGGTGTCCGTCACCCTGTGATTTATCGATCGGGATTTCAAAAACAAGCGTTTCGCCTGAGACATCCTCAAATTTTAATCCGCCGGCCTCCTTCAACCTCGATATTTATCAGGGAAAGAATCCGCCGGCCTCCTTCAAGTTGGGCACCGGGGACATGTTTACATACTAAAAGAGAACCCTTGTCCACATGATCGACCCACGAACCCGGAAAGGGATATAGACATGTGCAGCATGGTCACGTTTTCAAGAAGCCCACCTGGGCGACACCTCACGAAACATCCCACGAGACACCCCGCGAAACATCCCACGAGACACCTCACGAAACATTCCACGAGACACCTCACGAAACATTCCACGAGACACCCCGTGAAACATTGCACGAGACACCCCACGAACAGGCAACCACTCAACCAGACACCCCATGAAACATTCCACGGGGGTGCGACTGGGTGTGGTCGTGCTGGGGTGTGGTCGTGCTGGGGTGTGATCGTGCTGGGGTGTGGTCGTGCTGGGGTGTGGTCGTGCTGGGGGGTGGTGGTGCTGGGGGGTGGTCGTGCTGGGGCGTGGTCGTGCTGGGGCGTGGTCGTGCTGGGGCGTGGTCGTGCTGGGGCGTGGTCGTGCTGGGGCGTGGTCGTGCTGGGGTGTGGTCGTGCTGTGGTGGTCGTGCTGGGGTGTGGTCGTGCTGGGGTGTGGTCTTGCTGGGGTGGGGTCGTGCTGGGGTGTGGTCGTGCTGGGGTGGGGTCGTGCTGGGGTGTGGTCGTGCTGGGGTGTGGTCGTGCTAGGGTGGGGTCGTGCTGGGGTGGGGTCGTGCTGGGGTGTGGTCGTGCTGGGGTGTGGTCGTGCTGGGGTGTGGTCGTGCTGGGGCGTGGTCGTGCTGGGGTGGGGTCGTGCTGGGGTGGGGTCGTGCTGGGGTGTGGTCTGGGGTGCTGGGGTGGTCCGCACCCTGTGATTTATCGATCGGGTCGTGCTGGGGGTGTCGTGCTGGGGTGTGGTCGTGCTGGGGTGTGGTCGTGCTGCTGGGTGTGGTCGTGCTGGGGCGTGGTCGTGCTGGGGCGTGGTCGTGCTGGGGTGTGGTCGTGCTGGGTGTGGTCGTGCTGAGGTGGCCCGCACCCTGTGATTTATCGATCGGGATTTCAAAAACAAGCGTTTCGCCTGAGACATCCTCAAATTTTAATCCGCCGGCCTCCTTCGACCTCGATATTTATCAGGGAAAGAATCCGCCGGCCTCCTTCAAATTGGGCACGGGGGACTATGTTTACATACTAAAAGAGAACCCTGGGCCTGAGCCCTTTCCGGGAAAAAAACCCTTTGGAACCCTGCGGCAATGTACAGAGGGGGGTCCGAAAAACACCATCTCTCCGCTCCGCCTCCGGTCCCATCGTCGATGATTCTCGTGCGGCGCTGCACCGCAGACAATCTGGCCCGAAGAGCTCCTGGGGGGCGAAACGCGAAGCCTCGATTTTTGTCGCCAGAAACTCCTTCCAGAACAACTCCCACTCGTCGTCCCCCCAAATCCTCTGCTCTATGCTCCGCCCTGTACGGCGCGCCTCGAGTCGCAGGCCGAGGTTCGGCCAACGACTGCTTTCCAATCGTTTTTTGCAGCGGGAGCTGCCCAGCCAGCGCGGGCCGTGGTTCGGCCACAGAGTGGGCTGTCACGCTTGGGGCCAATTGCAGAGTGAGCTGCCCGCCAGCGCGGGTCGTGTTTTGACCACTGCACAGGATGCTGCTTCAACGCGGCGCGCGGCTGTGCAGCGGGACGCTGCCACAGTGGAGTTCCCCCGCGCGGGTCGTGGCTCGGCGAACGCGTGGGCCTCTGCTGACGGAGCCACCACAGTGCGGCACCGTTCGCCAGAGTGCGATGGAACTGACTCGCGCATCCTAGTGCCCACCACTGCCGCTCTTCCAGCCCGCCTGGTCCTCCTGCCCCTCCTCCTCCTCCCCTCCTTCTCCCTCGTCCTCGTCCTCCACCCTCCTCCCCCCTCCTCCCCCCCTCCTCCTCCCCCATGCTCCTGGCCCTCCTCCTCCCTCTCCCTCCCCCTCGTCCTCCTAGCCCTCCTTCTCCCATCCTCCTCCCCCTCCTCCTCCTCCTCCTCATCATCATCATCCTCCTGCCCGTCCCTCTCCCTCCCTCTCCCTCGACCTCGTCCTCCCCCATTCTCCCCCTCAGCGACGCGGCCTGGGAGCCTTGTGGGCTCGCCCGAACGTCGTGCCCTCGAAGTACGCGTGCCTCCAGCGAGGTCGCGGGGACGCGAGGCGAGGACTGGGTGCGTCCGTGCAAGAAGGTGAAACAAGAACCGCCGATCGTCTGGAGGCGGCGAGGGGAGACCCGAAAAGGGTCTGACAGAGAAGAAGAGGAAGCGGCAGAGACGGGAACACACGATCGGTTCGGCCTCTGGCTCTGCGCCCTGCACGGAAGGATCCGCAGCACAGACAAGACTCGGGGGGCCTTCAGGGAACTCCTCGAACAGGCTGGAACCGGTCCTCGCCGACGCCCGAACGAATCCGACTCTGGGAAGCCGTGCCTGCCCCGTCTGCCGTCACTGCTGACCCACTTCCCTGCCGGCATCTGCCACGGGAACAGCGCGGGTCCTGGGGGGAACGGGTCCTGAAACCCGCGGCCTCTCCCCGGGAACAACTCGTTCGTCATGTCTCCTTGGTTGTAGGCCGGGCATGTCGCCCTACAGGCGGGTGTTGAGAGAACAAGGACAAATATTGAAACCATACCCCAAAACAGTTACAACAAACAACAACAACAAAAACGTCCCCGTACTACGTTTTGACTGTTTTTGCACATTCCTCCTGCAGAGGGACAGGCCCGACTTAACCTCAACTCTCATCGAGCAGGAACCGACTGTCCCGGCATTCCTGTAGTCATACCACGAAATGTCCTTAGAACCCAAACATGTTCGAAGAACAAAGACAATGCTCTTAGAACGTAGACCCGATGTGTTAAAACAAGACAGTCCCAACCAGAAATGTTCTAAGAACATGTCGAGGGGACCACGACAAGCTCTCAGAACATTCTTTGGCGGGGCTATAGGCGAGCCGGGACGCTTCGCCACTGCTTGATCTCGAGCGTCGTGGGCCTCCCGGGGGCCCGTGGAGGGCCCCCGGGAGGCCCACGACGCGGCGAGCCGCACCTCCGGCCCTGCGCTTCCCTCGGGAGCCATCCCAGTCACGGCGCATCCGTGCTCTCGTCTTGCGGGCGTTGGCAGAACGCGGCGAGCAGCCTCTCTGGCCCCGCTTCCCTCGGGAGCCACCCCGCTCACGGCGAATCCGTGCACTCGTCTGCCCACGACAGGTTCTCTTTTGCGGGAGCGACTCGGGCGTTGGCAGAAGTTGAACTGGGTTCAGTGGAGCCTGGTTCAGTGAGACCTGCACTCGGGGGCGCCCCCCCGTCCCACTTCCACGAACCAGAACTGCCGTCGCCCGAAAAAGCACCAGCTATATGGCAAACCTGGTCTAGCGATCCTGGCCAATTCGAGGGCTCCCGGGCCCTACCACTGACCGGGTCCCCTTGCCCGGGGTCCTGGCCACACCCGAGTCTTCCCACGACGGGTGCTCTTTCGCGGGCGCGACGCTCCGCACCCCACTACCACCGGCCCCCTTCTGGAACAGACATGTCTTACCAGCCTGGAACATATCCCTATCCCTATGCTGGGCACCTCCTCATCACGATGTTAATCCTAGGGGTTCCCTAATTTTTTGAGCGCGAATCCCTAAGATTGTCATCCCCTTTTGGCGTGTCAATCTTAGGGATAGGGATACGTTCGAGGCTGGTAAATGTCTGGGAGACGTCCGAAGATCCGTGCGGGAAGCCCTCGGGCCGCGGCACGCTGCGCGTGATCTTTTTCCCGATCGCTGACCACGCCCGCCCTGGCAACCTAGCCACCATTCCAAGGAACTCGTTTCTCCAACCGCAACCTTCCCGTTTACTTTAGGAGATCCGCGGGGGCTTCTTGGATCGGCGCTGGACCCCTCCCTGGCGCGCGGAGCGAGCCAGGGGCGGCGCCGCAGGATTCCAGCGCCGATCCGAAGAATCCGCGCGACCTTTGCGAATCTATGATTGCACGAACTCTATGGCCTTCAAAATCTCGGGCGCGTTGACATGGATGCCGGCCGGACCCCTGGATCTGGGACTCGGGCGCCACATCTATGGTCTACGGATCGGGGAAAGTACGGCAGGCTCGTGACGTGTCGACTCGACCTTGGTTCCTAGCACCGCGGGGAGCATTCAACCCTGAAGGATCGGCCGTCTTCCAAAACGTCAGATCGTTCAACATCGACTGATTCCGGGCCGCCAGCGGTGTTCAAACATCGAACGCCGGCGGCGGCGTCGCCGTCGGTCGTCACGACGCAAACCAACCGCCCGAGACGTGAGGGTCCGCGCCGCCCGATTTGGCCACGGAGCGCGCCGCTCCTGCATGGGAGCAGGTTACCAGCCTGGAACATATCCCTATCAATATGCTGGGCACCTCCTCATCACGATGCCAATCTTAGGGATTCCCTTTTTTTTGAGGGCGAATCCCCCTATTTTGAGGGCGTGTCAATCTTAGGGATAGGGATACGTTCGAGGCTGGTAAGCAGGACCGGCCGCGAGTCCGCGCGCCTCAGATCCGTGTGGGCGCACCTCCTCGAGAGCTGCCCCGCCACGCCGTCGTGCGTCCCGAAGGGCACCCCTGCGGCATCGAGCCCCGAACAGCAGCTTTCCCAAAATCGTGATGGCCGCGCACCGAGCCGAGGACCGGGAACGGGCCATGGAACCGAACACGCCGATCGGGGATGGACAGACCCCCCTTTAGTAAAACGTGGTTTAGTGAGAACGACCTGAGGCCCAAACCTGGCGGGCGCAAGCCTGGAAAATAACGGCCACGGCGCCATCTCGAGAACCGAAAACGGACAATTCACTAATCGACGTGTCACTGTTGGGGGTTCTGTCCACCCCCGAGCCAAATCGGACCGGCTGGACGAACCGAATCGGCCGAACGAAACCGGCCCGCTGCGCGAACCGAACCTGCCGAACCGACGCGGGCCGACCTGGACTGGCCCGCGATGCGAAACGAGCCGTGGGGAGCGCACACGTCGTGAGCTGTGACAGAGCACGACGGGGGCCACGATGGGGGGCTACGTGGGGGCTCCACGAGGGAGGGGCCACGGATGGGGGCTGGCCATGGGCAGCCACGGTGGGGCACAGATCTCGGGGGCACGGCATCCCTGGCCGGGCGTTCGACCAATCCCGCCAGCCCTTCAGGGCGTGAGTGATTTAGATAATTTCTTATACCCCCTCCTTCTTCCCCTTCTGGGAGGGCTTTTTTTCCATTTTCACAAGTAAGAAACACACACACCCAGGCGACCGGGCGGCGACCAGCAGCCAACCAGGACCAATGATGCCCCCCCCACACCATCCCTCTCAAAAACATGATGGACCCACGAACCCGGAAAGGGATAAAGACATGTGCAGCATGGTCACGTTTTCACGATACCCAACTGGGCGACATCTCACGAAACATCCCACGAGACACCCCGCGAAACATCCCACGAGACACCTCACGAAACATTCCACGAGACACCTCACGAAACATTCCACGAGACACCCTTTGAAACATTCCACGAGACACCCTTTGAAACATTCCACGAGACACCCCACGAACAGGCAACCACTCAACCAGACACGCCACGAAACATTCCACGGGGGTGCGACTGGGTGTGGTCGTGCTGGGGTGTGGTCGTGCTGGGGTGTGTTCGTGCTGGGGAGTGGTCGTGCTGGGGTGTGGTCGTGCTGGGGTGGTCGTTCTGGGGTGGTGTGGTCGTGCTGGTGGTCGTGCTGGGGGGTGGTCGTGATGGGGGCCGCTGTCGGTGCTGGGGGGGTGGTCGTGCTGGGGCGTGGTCGTGCACCCCGCGGAAAATTCGCACCCCGCGGAAAACATCCCACGAAGCACACTCACGAAAACATTCCACGAGGGACACCTCACGAAACATTCACGAGACCACCCTTTGAAACAGTCCACGGAGACACCCCACGAACAGGCAACCACTCAAACAGACACGCACGAACACTACACCGGCGGTGCGGAATGGGTGTGGTCGTGATGGGGGTGTGGTCGTGCTGGGGTTTTTCGTGGTCGTGCTGGGAGTGGTCGTGCTGGGGTGTGGTCGTGCTGGGGGGTGGTCGTGCTGGGGTGTGGTCGGGCTGGGGGGGTGGTCGTGCGGGGGGGTGGTTGTGCTGGGGCGTGGTCGTGCTGGGGCGTGGTCGTGCTGGGGCGTGGTCGTGCTGGGGTGTGGTCGTGCTGTGGTGAGGTCGTGCTGGGGTGTGGTCGTGCTGGGGTGTGGTCTTGCTGGGGTAGGGTCGTGCTGGGGTCGGGTCGTGCTGGGGTGTGGTCGTGCTGGGGTATGGTCGTGCTGGGGTGGGGTCGTGCTGGGGTGGGGTCGTGCTGGGGTCTGGTCGTGCTGGGGTGTGGTCGTGCTGGGGTATGGTCGTGCTAGGGTGGGGTCGTGCATTTCGCTCGAGACATCCTGCCAAAATTCCAGGAAATCGTACAAAAACAAACAAATTAGTCGAAACATCATCGAAATTCCTTCGCGCGGGGCGCTTTTCCGCGTCGCGGTCGGCTCTGCAAAACAAGCGTTTCGCTCGAGACATCCTCGGCAAACTCTGCGGAGCAAGCGTTGCGCTCGAGACATCCTCAACACACGAAAAAGTGGCCCGCACCCTGTGATTTATCGATCGGGATTTCAAAAACAAGCGTTTCGCTCGAGACATCCTCAAATTTTAATTCGCCGGCCTCCTTCGACCTCGTTATTTATCAGGGAAAAAAATTCGCCGGCCCTCTTCAAGTTGCAACCGTGGGGACAGGTTTTTTTGTGTTTTTTTGGTGTAGGTTTTTTAGTTTACCAACTAAAGTGGAACCATGGGCCGGGCCCTTTCGGGAAAAGGTGAAGTCATGATCGAGGGGGCGCAAGCAAATTATATTGTTCACCAACCCTCCTGTGTTGGGTCCTCGTTTGAATCGCCAGCGCCGCGCGACTCCTCCACCCTTCATTCCTTACTCCTTCCTGTCCTTCCTTCCTTCCCTCCTCCTTCTCCTCCATCCTCTCTCTCTGCCTCTCCACTCCTCCTTCACGTCATCCTCATCCTCTTCTCCTCCCTCCCCCATCAGATCACCACCTTCATCATCATCATCATCATCATCATCATCATCATCATCTTTTCCTCTGCCGGTTTCATCA